AAAAAACTGAACAACGAAAAATCGAATTAATTAATGTTATGAAACTTTTTCATATACCTTTAATTAATTATCCAAATTTAATCTATCTTCAAAAAGAAATAAATAATTTAAATACTTTATCAGACTTCTATGATGAGTTTAAACGCAATGAAAAAATTTGGTCAAATATTCTTTGGACCGAACTTGATATAAATGATTTGATGATTAATGTGGATTTATTTATTAAAAATTTTCGACGATTATCATCAGATATAAAAATAACAAGTGTCGGTCGTGTAGTAGAAAAGTATTTAACAGGTAATTAATACTTCCGATATGCTGTTATCTTAGTTATTCTTTAACTAACGACTCACAGGAAATCAACAGAACGGACTTCTGAATTTCGCCATTGGTGAATGTCTCGTGGGCGAAATTTGAGTAAGACAATGGAACATTGAACTATGTATATACAATAACTTTTTGAGTAAAAAACTATTTTTTATAAGTGTTATTTTTAAAACCTGAGATGTTAGTGACTAAAGGAACAGCATCTGCAATGCTAGAGATGGGCAACTCCGGGGGTAAGCAACTCCAACTCCGACTCCATTCCAACTTCAGGTAAAAAAGCGTCAACTCCATAGTTAACTTCAGCTCGGAAGCTAGAGTTGCCCATCTCTGGTATAGATATTTTCTGCTGTTCTCTTGCACATCATGAGATCCGTCGGAGTTGAATCAGAGTAGAAAAAAGCACCAACTCCAACTTCACTCTAACTCCAGATAAAAAAGAATCTACTCCGGAGTTAACTCCAACTCCAGAGTTGTCCGTCTCTGTGCATTATATTGTGCAATGAAAGTCTATTCTCCCTACATATCTTTTGACTCACAGCTAAACTATAAAAATGAATACAAAATATTTAAATGTGTAAATACTCAAGTAACTTTATCAATGAGTCGTTGCGTAGAAAAAATAATTGAATAATTTCAGCTACGACCTTTAATCTTGTGTATAGCTAATCTTAATAGTATTTAAAAAAGGAAACTAAAGTCAATACAGACCTATCAATTATTGATCTAAAGTAAGATTTATTTTCCGATTAGATTTTCGTTCATCTCTTCCAATTATGGTTGATTTAAAAAATGAAGCATTACGAGAACGTCATTGGAAACAAATTATTCAAGAAACTAATATTGATATTGATCTAACAAGTAATGTTCTTACATTAGAAAATATCTTTCAAATGAATTTATATCAATATAATGATATTCTTCAAAGTAAATTGATATTTTTTTAAAAGAATAGAAGAAAATTCTTGAAAACTTCTTACAGATATTTTACAAACTGCTATTAAAGAATTACAAATCGAAAAGAATCTTAAAGATATTCAACAACAATGGAATACAATGCATTTTCAAATACATAAACATATTCGTAATACAACTATACAACAAGATCGTAGTAGTTTCATCATATCTGGTGTTGATGATATTCTTCAAGCACTCGAAGATTCAACATTACTTCTTAATAGTTCTAGCTTTTTTTTCTTTGAATTATTCAATTATTTTATTTTTTAAAGGTATAACAACATCACGTTTTGTTGGTATTTATCTTTCACAAGTTGAACAATGGATTCGAATTCTATCGTTAATATCCGATGTTATTAAACTATGGATAATTGTTCAACAAAAATGGATATATCTTGAAAATATATTCCTCGGTTCTAGTTTACAATTTGGTGATGAAGCAAAACGATTTGATACAGTTGATAAATTATCTCGAAAAATTATGCTTGGTAAACAACTAAATAGGTTTTCCGACTCCCCTCCTCCATTACAGATCATGGTCATTGAGTACAAATCAAGACAGCCTTTCATTCCGATGGCTGAAAATAGCTCAGACATTTTTAATCTTAATTCATTTATTTATTCTTAGATACATCTCGAAATTCATTGGTAAAAGATGCTTGTACACATCCTGGTCGATATGATGAATTAAAATCAATATTAAATTTAATTGAAAAAATTCAAAAGAATTTAAATGATTATTTAGATACAAAACGTCAATTATTTTCAAGATTTTATTTTCTATCTGATGATGAACTTCTTTCAATTATTGGACAATCAAATCCAAATGATATTCAAGAATATTTACAAAAAATGTTTGATAATATCGGTGCATTAAATTTTATTCAATACGATAAAACAGTGGATATCGAAGAAGAATATCAACAAAATTTAATTTATGCAATAGGAATGATATCATTAGAAAAAGAAGAAATGAGTTTTATAAATCCAATAGAATGTAATGGAAAAGTTGAAATATGGATGAATAATATTGAAAAAGAAATGAAATATTCAAATCGTTGGATAACCAAAGAAGCGATTTTTTATTATCGTTTTAAACAGAATAGATTAGAATGGATGAGAAAATATATTGGTATGGTTGTTTTAGTTGTTAGTCAACTTTGGAGTACATGGGAAATTGAAGAGTATGTTATAAAATAAAATAAAATTGAAGTAAAATGTAAAGTTTCTTAATAAGCAGTATTTTATCCAGAGGACGGGCTGGATGGGCGCCGCCCACCCGAAAAATATAGTAGTGGTATATTTTGTAATGGTCTGAGTGAGCGCTGAATGAACACCACCCACCCTAAGTTTCGATTCGTCCATCCGAAAATCGAAACCTAGATAAAACACTGTTAATTAGCCTAAACTCCACTTATGTTCGTACTATTTATTTTTTTATAGTTTAAATCTCAATAAATAGAATAATATAATCGAATTCTCGATTTGAACAATATATGAAGTCAAAAATCAGAAAAGTACGGTCTTAGAAAATGGAATGGTTCAGAGAGCCTTTAGTGCCAAATATATAAAAAAATGAACCATCATATTCCTTCATTTTTACAACTTATAATCTTTTATCTTAATAATTATTATGTAATCTATTATTTTTAGTCAATTTAATAAAATGCTAACACTAAATCAATCTTCAGCAATGAAAACATATGTTAAACAATTAAATTCTCAAATAGAAGAAATAGTTTTTGAAATGCGAAAATCTTTAACTTTAAGTAATGGAAATTTGTAATTTGTATTAATCCAATGACTATGATATTTTAGATGAATATAATAAATATGAAACAGTTCTTACTATTGATGTACATATTCGTGATATGGTTGATATATTAATCCGTGATGGAATAAATGAATCTCATGATTTGTGAGTTATAAAATTGATCTCATTATATAAGTTATTGTTTAATATAGTGCATGGCAATGTCAATTACGTTTCTATTGGTTGTCAAAAGAAGATAATTTATATTTACAACAATGCAATGGAAAATTTGAATATGGTTAAAAATTACATATATAATTAAAAATAATGAATTATTTCTTTTTTGAATAGGATATGAATATATGGGTCTTAATGGTCGTCTTGTAATTACACCATTAACTGATCGAATTTATTTAACAATTACACAAGTAAATAAATTGTTTGTTTTAACAAATAGTATACATTCAATCTTAGGCTTTATCAATGTTTCTGGGTTGTGCACCAGGTTTATTTGATATACTCTGCAAAAAAAGTATATTCATTATTTTTATCTAGCTGGACCAGCTGGTACTGGTAAAACAGAATCCATCAAAGATCTTGCTAAAGCTATGGGTCTTCTTTGTGTGGTTACTAATTGTGGTGAAGGTAAGATATTTATTTGATTCTATTTAAGATGATCCTACACCCACCCGAATGACCTTTTTTTCCTCCTAGGAATGGATTATCAAGCAATTGGTAAAAATTTAAATGGTCTATGTCAAACAGGTGCATGGGGTTGTTTTGATGAGTAAAATATTCAAAAAAAAATTATTTTAATTGATAATTCTTTTAATAAAAAGATTCAATCGTATTGAAGCATCCGTACTTAGTGTTGTGTCTACTCAAGTAAAAAGTATTCAACAAGCATTATCATTGCATCTGACGGAATTTCTTTTCGAACATAATGAAATTCGACTTCTTTCAACAGTTGGAATATTTATAACAATGAATCCTGGTTATGCTGGTCGAACAGAATTACCTGAATCAGTGAAGAATTTATTTCGACCTGTTGTTGTTGTGTAATTTTTTTATTGTTTTTTTAATATATATAATATTTGATTTTTCAGTATTCCGGACTTACAATATATTGGAGAAATAAAATTATTTGCGAATGGTTTTATAAATGCAAGAATTTTAGCTAAAAAAATGGTAACATTATATCGTTATGCATCGGAATTACTTAGTAAACAAGTATTTAAAATTAAATAGAATTTTTTCTTCCGTTTATATCCTGTTTTAGTATCATTATGATTGGGGTTTAAGAAGTTTTAAAGCTGTTTTATCAATGACAGGTTATTTAAAACGAACAACAATGAAAGATACTTCCGAAGAAATCGTTCTTTTAAGAGCTTTACGTGATATGAATATACCAAAATTTATTTCTGATGATGTTAATTTATTTCATACATTATTAAATGATTTATTTCCTAATATCACTTGTCCAAAAATACACTATGAAGATTTAAATCGAATAATTGAAGAAGTATTAATTAAACAACAATATATTCTAATTCCAGAACAAATTGAAAAAATTATTCAGTTATATGAAACAATGATGACACGTCATTCAACAATGTTAGTTGGACCAACAAGGTAAAGGACGAAAGAAACTGATCTGAAACTTTTTTTATCTTTAATTTAAGTGGTGGAAAAACAGTAATATTAAATACTCTAGCTGAAGCACAAACTCAAATGGGAATAAAAACAACTCTTTATACAGTCAATCCAAAAGCAATAAGTATTATTGAATTATATGGTATACTTGATCCATTGACATGTAAATATACAATTTTAGTTTTATAAAATAAAACCATCTTGAAGGTACCGACTACAGATGTACAGGATCAACCTTTTTATGTCCCGGTCCCGATCATGATCACCGGGACCGGCACTGTGACCAAAACTAGTCCCGCTCATCTCTAATATCGTCCTAGAGACAATTAATCCAAAATTATTCATAGAACTTCTAAAACAATTCTTCAATACTCGTTTTTCAATTTGTTTAGTCCACGACTAGCACTTTTCGGTTCATTTTTCTTGAATAACGTCATTATATAGCCCCAAATTCAAATATACGTCACGGTCCCGCATATCTCTAGCACCGACTTATCTTTCCTTGATTTACATCCTCAAGCATATCGTTAGGACAACTGTTATGTTTATATTTCTTATTTTTCATAGCTGAATGGACTGATGGGATTGTCTCAATGTTATATCGAATGATTAATCGACCAACAATACGTAATGAAAGACGTTATATTGTATTTGATGGTGATGTTGATGCACTATGGATTGAAAATATGGTACTATTTTTATAAATAAAAAAACGAATAATATTTTGATTCATTTTTTTTTTGAAGAATTCAGTTATGGATGATAATAAATTATTAACATTAGCTAATGGAGAACGTATTCGTTTACAAGATTATTGTTCTTTATTATTTGAAGTTGGTGATTTAAAATATGCATCACCAGCAACAGTATCTCGATGTGGAATGGTTTATATTGATCAAGAAAATGTCGGTCCTAATCCAGTATGGAAACGTTGGTTAAATATGAATGTAATTGATCGATTATATGAAAGAAACCAATTAGATTTACTTTATGTTCGATATATAAATAATATAATGAATTTGATTTATCAAGGTTTAACAGAAACTGAACGTAGACCAAGAATGAAAATGATTATACCATTGTAAGTTTAAGATAGAGAATAAAAATAAATGATATATTTTATATTTTTAGAACTCAAGTCAATATTATGATACAATTTACAAAATTACTTGATTCTTTATTTTTACCATTGATTAAAAATGAGAAAAAAAATCAATTTCAACTAACTTCAGATCTTATCCATGCTTGTTTTCTTCAAACAATGATTTGGTCATTCGGTGCTTGTTTAAAACAAGAAGATCGTATAATATTAGATACTTTTATTAAATATCTATCAGGTCTTTCACTTGTATCCGCTGGTTCAAAAGCTAAATCTGGACAATTACCTAATGAGAAACCTTTATTATTCGATCATGTATTTCAACCTGAACTTGATCAATGGATAAAATGGGATGATCTTATACCGAAATATGAACATGATCGATCGAAACGATTCTATGAATTATTTGTTTCAACTGCTGATACGATTCGTTTAGGTATGATGAATTTTTTTTCTTCCTTTTACATATTATTCCACATAGAATGGTTAATGAAATCGATGATATCAATTCATCAACCTGTTCTATTTGTTGGTGATACTGGATCGAGTAAAACAGCTACAATTCAATCCTATATTCGACATTTTGATTCACGTTATATTAATTTAAATTTAAATTTTTCTTCACGAACAAAATCAATCGATGTACAACGTACTATTGAAAGTCAATTAGAAAAATATTCGAAAAATACCTATGGCCCATCAGCTGGAAATAAATTAATTATATTTCTCGATGATTTATCTATGCCAAAAATCGATCAATATGGTACACAACAAGCAATTGCTTTACTTAAATTACTCATTGAAAAACATGGCATGTATGAACGAAATAGTGAACTGAATTGGAAATTTATTACAGATATTGACTGGATTGCTGCTATGGGTACTCCTGGTAATTCGTTTGCTTTTATCGAAACAAATAAACCGATCATTTTTCTAGGTGGAAGTAATAATAGTATTGATCCTCGTTTTATTAGTCATTTTAATGTTTTTTATATTACATCGCCATCATATGAATCGTTATTTCGTATATTTTCAACAATTTTACAAAGTCATGTAAGAACATTTTCTCCGGAAATACAAGGAATCATTCCAAATATAATTCATTCTACTTTACAAATCTATGAAAATATACTTCGCTTATTTGTTCCAACACCAATGAAATGTTATTATATATTTTCATTGCGTGATCTTAGTCGAATAATTCAAAGTCTTTTACAAACTATACCTGAACGATTTGATACGAAAGAAAGATTTCTACGTGTTTGGGTACATGAATGTATTCGAATATTTTCTGATCGGTTTAATAATTTAAAAGATCTTGAATTATTTAATAAAATTCTTGAAGAAAATTCTTTAATTAAAGAGGAAAAAATTTATTTATTACGTAAACCAATTTTATTTGCTGATTATCGTACAGCATTACAAGATGATGAACCAAAAATTTATGAAGATTTACAAGATTATCAAGCAATAAAATCAATATTTGATGAAATTATTGTTGAATTTCAAGAACAATATGGTTATAAGAATATAGTTTTATTTAATGATGCACTTGAACATATAACACGTATATATCGTGTACTTCGTTTAGATCGTGGACATTTATTATTGATTGGTGTTGGTGGTTCCGGAAAAAAATTACTTTCAAAAATTGCTGCTTTTACTGCTAAATATGAAATATTTGAAATACAATTAACGAGAAACTATAATGAAATATCATTTCGAGATGATTTAAAAATTTTATTTAACCAAGTTGGATTAAAAAATAAGAAAACAGCTTTTATTTTAAATGATGCACAAATTATTGATGAGAATTTTCTTGAATATATTAATAATATTTTATCGAATGGAATGATAACTACATTATATAATGAAGAGGTAAAGAAAATTCTTGAGGAATTGATATTCTAAATTGATATGTATTAGAAACAAGATGAAATTATTAATGAAATACGTGAAGAAGCAATGAAAATGTTTCGAATTGGTTCATCAAATGAAAATATTTGGAATTATTTTATTCAGAAATGTACAACGAATTTACATATTATTTTATGTATGAATCCAAATGGAGATCTATTACGAAACCGGTGAGTTCTTTTTAATAAGATGCAAATATACATAAAGCTTTACAGAAAACAGAAGCGATATTGGGGTGAGTGTGAATTTATCATTTCGTAACACACCTATCCTTCTATGTTTCTATTGAGGATCTTCTTTTCTTATCTAACACAACTAAATTCTACTTGTTCAGACATAACAATGTAATCGTGAAGGTCTTTTCTATTATACATATCTTTTCAATATGTATTGTCTACCTTATCGGTGAGTGTTACTGCTCATATTGTGCTCTCAACAAGAACGGAGTTTCAATAGAGATACATTTTCTTTTTCATCAGTTTTATTTTGATTTCAAAAAAAAATATAGAAAGAAATTATAATTCATTTTTCATGCGTTCGAGGTTTTCTCTCCGTCGTTGAAGAGTTGGATGACTTGATGGTAATGATTGTTGTCCATTTTGAACAGCACGTTCTTAAAATGAATGAGCTTTTGAATAGTTGCCCATATTCTCATACAACAAACCGATGTTGTTATAGGAACCACCCAAATCAGGATGATTAGAAGGAAGTGATTGTTGTCAAATTAAAAGGGCTTTTTCATAACTAGAAAGTGCTTCTGGATAATCGCTCATGCTGTAATATACACTACCGATGTTGTTATATGACGTACCCAAATCAGGATGATTGGAAGGAAGTGATTGTTGTCGAATTGCAAGGGCTTTTTCATGAGATGAAAGTGCTTTTAGATAATCACCCATGCTGTTATACGCATTACCGATGTTGTTATTGGTATTAGCCAAATTAAGATGATTGGAAGGAAGTGTTTTTTGATCCATAGCAAGTGATTTTTCATAATACGTAAGTGCTTCGGAATATTCTCCTTGATCATATTTGATCATACCTAGTTGATTATAAATCGATGCCTTGTCCCTTTCATGGATTGTTTGATGAAGTAAAATTTCATAAACTTCTTGACCCTTGTCAGACTGACCCATTTTGATTAACAGTAATCCTAATCTGTGCCATCCTGTCGAATCTGGAAGGGTGTCCTGTCGTATACGATCAGTAAGAGTACGAAGATCTTGGTCACTGTCACTGGTCAATATTAAATTCACTTTATAGAGATGATTATTTCCATCCATTGGTTTTATATCTCCAATACGGAAAATAGTATGCATAGAGAAGAGAACTTCATCTTCTGTATGAAAATAACTAATATCACTAACAACAGCAAATGGAGTTGTTGAATCCGTAGGATTAATTGATATAACAAATAGAATTCCAACAAGATCAGGATTTGTAGTAGCTTGTTGCAAAAATTCAAGAGCAGTATTACAACTTTTACTAGTTGATAAAAAATTATTAAATGAAAGAAGTCCACCTTTAGTTTTTGTCATTTCGGTGAAATCGTCTTTTGAAAGACCTTGTCCACGATAAACTGTAAATGTTGTGCCAGATTGTTGACCATGAAATTGTTCCGAATGGAGTCGTTCAATATCATAATGTAGATCATTAATAAAGAAACCCATTTGAATAATCATATGAATATCCATCGATCTTAATGCTTGATTGAGCATACGATATAAAAATGCATCCCATGTATACCACCATATGGGTAGATGGTTTTTGTATGTTGTTTGTAATTGGTTAACATTTTTTAATTCATTTTTATCATCTTCATATATTTCACGACAATAGGTAATAAATTCTTTGAAATGTTTGTCTTCGAAGTTAATGGTTAGTAAGATCTCTTTCAAGATCTGAGTATACATAAAGGTTGGATCTAATTGATCCAATTTCTTATTTGATGCCACAAAACTGATTGAGATGGCATTTTGCTCACATTGATGAGCAGTTTGTTTAAGAGCTTCACAGATCGATGTTATATCTGTGAAGACTCCTTTTATTTTAGGCCATTCTTTGGCCCATTGTTTATGCCATTCTTGATTGTTACAAAAAATGAAAATGGCATCTACTTGAGACAGATCATGCACATGACGCACAATATGTTTTCCATGTGAACCAGAAACAATCATACACACTTTGTTGTTGTTAATTGTTTGAATAAATTCGACACATTCTTCACCATCTGTAAACGTGTTCATGTTGTTAACTACGCGTTTTAATTTTTTGATTGTATTACTACAATCAGCATTGTTTTCATTAATGTTGTTGTCTAACCAGATCAAGAGGACATTTTGCATTCTTTGCATGTTCGTACGTCGATTTACAGTTGCACGTGTGGAGATCCCAGATGTTGGGTGAACGTTTTTTGTGTCACTTAATTTGCTAGTTGCCATTGACTGATTATTTGTTATTTGTAATATAAATATGTTGCATTTGAGTAGTTTAAAAAAATTTGTGAATGAAAGAGTTATGAAAGCTGCTCATTTTATAGTGTCTCTACTTCGTATCGAGATTTGTTTTTCTATTTTTTTGAATTGGACAACAACGCCTTTTTCAGTAACTATTGTAGATGTTGTTATGAAAAACAAACGAACATCAACACAAACATTCCTTAGTAATAAGCAGAGAACGAAAAAGAAACGGTTAAGTATTTTTGCGATTACCAGTCACTAAAAGAATCCGCGAAAAGAAATTTTACTACGTATTTTGATAACGCAAAAAAAAACAATCTCCAAGAAATTTTTTTTCTTTCTGCTCTCATGTTTGATGTTGTTGAGGACTCGAACGTTGGAAATAGTTATTTTGTCGAAGACATTATAATATATAAAAGTCGACGAGATACTGCCATTCAAACACAAAACACTTACATTCCTTTATTTCTATGGTTCAATATATGAAACATGGAGAAAATCTTTTAAATTAGTTGCTATTTCCGGTTCTTTTAAATTTTGTTTTTCTTAGTTAACAACAACATATGAAATGATGCATAATACTGTATAAAAACGTTAAAAAGAGACCATTGTAAAGAAAACTAGCGGATCGATACAATATAGGATGCTTCGCATCTTAAAAACTCGAAAATGACTGCATAAATACTTTGCTTCGCATCGCATTAAATATATCGTGAAGATTTATCTATCGGAAGTAGAAACAAGCATAATTGTCATACATCTAATATGTCATGATAATAGGATGAAAGCAGTAAACTATATGAATGAGAATATTTGAATAAGTTTAGCCAATTAATTAAAATAAGTATAATAAATTCTGTTCTGCAAACAATAATACAAATAAGAATTAGTCATCGATTTATGCAAGAAATAATGCATTACGAAGTATGAGCAGAAGTTGACTGAAATAGTTAAATAAATTTCTTATCTTCCATTAGTAAAAATCTAATAATCAGACAAGAATTGATTACCTATTTAAATCTTTATATGCTCCAATATATTGAGTTCCACATAGCTTACAACAATCATGTACATTATTTTTATTAAATAGAACACGAAATTTTCCAGCATTGATCAATAATACTACTATTGATTATTTTGCTCGTTGGCCACAACAAGCTTTGTAAGCTACTTTTCTTTTTTTCTAAATTAATCATTAGTTTTCCAATTATACGAAACAATTATATAGGTATGCTGTTGCTGAACACTTCATATCTGATTTTAAATTGATAACAAATGAATTTAAAAATAATATTATTGAACATATGATTATGGTACATGAATCTGCTAATTTCTATTGTGATCTATATACTGAAAAAATGCATCGTAGTGCTTATGCTACACCAAAAAATTATCTAGATTTTATTCATACATTTATTCAATTGTATAAACAAAAGAAAGATGATTTATTGAAACAAGCTGAACGATTAAATGTTGGAATCATTCGAATTGATGAAGCTAGTATACTTATACAAGAAATGGATCGAAAATTAGAAAAACAACGTAAAGAACTTGGTTAGTATAGAATAGAAATTATTTCATTTACATAATATTCTATTCTTACAGCAATAAAAACACAAAAATGTGATGATTTATTATCCGAGATAACTATTTTAACTGCTAAACAAACAGAACGTAAAAGTCGAGTAAGTATAAAAATATCTTTGAATAAAAAAAAAGTTCTTTTTCTGTAGGCATTAGAAAAAAAGCAAATAGTTGATGAACAATTAATAATTATAGAAAAAGAAAAACATGAAGCTGAATCACAATTACAAGAAACAATGCCAGCATTACTCGAAGCTCAACAAGGTCTTGATACACTTAAAGCAACTGATATAACTGAAATGCGTAGTTTCGCAAATCCAGTCGATACATTAAGATTAATTGGCTATTGTATGTTGATTTATTTGGGTCATCCATCAATTACTTGGAAAGATGTAATATTCAGTTTTTATTTATTTAAGCCGAATGAACGTTGAGATATTCTCTTCCCTACTCATGTCTGATTTAAATATCAATGATAAGCGTTAGTTCAGTTTGTATACATGGTATTTTTGCTGGTCCGAGAAGACTGGAACGATTATCTGAGGTTAAAATTTAATTCATAAATAAATTTCTTGAGCAATACATTAGGTTTCGAGTTAGAGTACGGCGGTCCCAAAAATAATCCGGAACCGCGGATCCAGTCCGGTTCCGGTTCGGTTTTCGGATCCATTTTTTTGGAACCGCCGTACCCTATTTTGAGTAGTACCTAAAGACTTGCAGCCTATCGATAAGGATAAGGCGACATTGCTAGTGTAAATTTTTGTCTGTTTTTTTAATAGGTTCGAGGTGTAATGGCTGATATGAAATTTATAACAAATTTAAAAACTCGTGATCCGGATTTATTTACCTCGAAACAAGCAGTACAATTAAAAATCTATTTAAAAAAATTAGAAGAAAAACTTGATCCAAATCATATATATTCATTATATGATAAATCTGAACGTGATATTAAACTTCTTACATTAATGAGTAATGTTAGTCGTGTTGGTGGTAGTTTATTTAAATTTATTCATGCTATTGATAATTATATGGATAAATATCGTGAAACAAAACCTAAAAAAGATCGTTTAATTTCTATTGAAAATGATTATGAAATAAATCTTACAGAATTAAATCGATTAGAAAATCATATTGAAAAATCAACAAATATATTAGATGATTTTCGAAAACGATTTGATATTGCAATAGAAGATAAAATTAAATTTCAAGAAGAAACAGATATTGCTATACGTCGTCGTCTAGCAGCTGAAAAACTTTTATTTGGTTTTAATAGTGAAACACTCAGATGGAAAGATGAAGTTAATCATATGAAAGAATATGAAAATGAATTAATAGGAAATTGTTTATTATCTAGTGCATTTCTTGCCTATTGTAGTCCATTTACATATGAAATTCGTCAAGATTTAATATATAATCAATGGAAAAAAAGTTTAAATGAAAAAACGATTTCAATAACAGAAAATTTTCAAATACAAAATTTTCTTTCATCAAATGTTGAAATATCTGAATGGACATCGCAAGGTTTACCAGCTGATGAATTTTCTATACAAAATGGAATTCTTACTTTATATACAAATCGTTTTCCTTTTTGTATTGATCCTCAATTACAAGGTTTATTATGGATTAAACAACGAGAAAAGAAAGCGAATTTAAAAATTTTATCAATGAGAGATAGAGATTTTTTAAAACATTTTGAATTAGCAATTAAATATGGGTAAATTTATTTGAAATGTATTACTATGTTCATTTACTATTGATATTTCTTTAGATATCCAGTTCTTTTCAAAGATGTTGATGAATATATCGATCCGATAATCTTAGATATATTATCTAAAAATTTTCAAGGTGATTCAACTCATCAATATATTAAATTAGGTGATAAAAATATAGATATTGATCGAAATTTTCGCATGTATTTAACATGTCGTTTATCAAATCCAAAATTATCTACCCTACATTTTTCTTATTCAAAAGTAATTAATTATACTGTTACATTAAAAGGTCTTGAAGAACAATTATTATCTTCTTTGGTTAAAATTGAAAGACGTGAATTAGAAGAAATGCGTGAAACATTAATCCAAGAAATATTTGAAAACAAACAGCAACAAAAATTACTTGAAGATTCACTTTTAAGAGAATTAACAACAACAACTGGGTTCGTAATCTAGACATGAATTGACTTATAATCTACGTAAAAGATTGTATTTCTTAAGCGCAAATAGTACCTTGTTAACCCATTCCTAAAAATGCCGTACCCTCCTACGGCAAAAATTTGATGGGACTAAAAGCTTAAATCCGGGGCAAAATCTTATGTAGAGGGCCAAGTTAAGTGAGCTCCAAATTTGCAGTTTACGAGTTTCAAGTTTTTCGGCAAATTGTAGCTTGTAACTGTGGGCTTTTTTTCTTGAGCATCACCAGTCAATTTTGTACAGTCCAGAGTATCTATCGAGCAACTAAAAACAAATGATTACAGTTTTCGCGAAAACGTAAACTCCAAATTTGGAGTACACTTAACTTGGCCTATGCAGAGTTATAATCACGTCAACCCATCATGGGCCCTAGGTGGACATACACCAAACTCAAACTCCCAAACGGTTGCATGTCTAGTCCTATAGATAGGACTCTGTTTGAGTATTTGTCTTTTTACTTTAATGAAGTCTTTAATTAATTTTAGAAATATTTTGGATAATAATGAATTAATTGAAACATTAGCAAATACGAAAACAAAAGTTAGTGAAGTCATACAAGCATTAAATTTAGGTGAAAGAACTCGACAAGATATTGAAAAATTACGTGATACATATCGTTTAGCTGCTAGACGTGGTGCTGTACTTTATTTCTCCTTAGTTCAAATGTCAACAACTAATTCTATGGTTTGTTATAAAAAAAACTAAAATTTATCTTTCGAAATTTATTCATTTTTTATAGTATCAATATTCATTAAATTCGTTTCTTTCAGTCTTTGAATATAGTGTAAAAAGTGCTCAAACAAATTTTAAATTAGAGAAACGTTTACAGTCAATAGTAAATACATTAACATATCAAATCTATTGTTATGGTACAATAGGAATGTTTGAAAAACATAAATTACTTTATTCATTTTTATTAACTATTCAAATTGAATTAGATAAACAAATTATAACTTATAATCAAATAGATTTTTTTCTTAAAGGCAATTTATCATTAGATAAATCATCAAAACCATTATTTAATTGGTTAACTTATGAAACATGGCACCATTGTTTATATCTTTCAAAACAATTTCCTGAAAAATTTCAAAATTTAATTATAAATATTGAAGAAAATCCTATCGAATGGAAACAATGGGCCGAACATGATCAACTCGAAAATATTGCCTTACCAAAACCATTTGATATACCATTAAATGATTTTGAAAGATTAATGTTAGTAAGATGTTTTAGTCCAAATAGAATTATTTTTGCAATTAATAAATATATAACAAAAATAATGGGAGAAAAATATATTATTCCGCCAACAGTTTATTTCGATTCGATTTTTGAACAATCAACAGCTCATATACCAGTTATTTTCATACTTTCACCTGGATCAGATCCGACAAATGACATTCAAAAATTAGCAGAAAGAAAAAATCAAATTCGAAAGATACCGACAGAAAATGGACTTACTAATGAAGAACAAAAAACTATACGAACACTTGCTATGGGTCAAGGACAAGAAAAATTAGCATTACAAGTACTACATACAGCACAACATCAAGGAACTTGGTTATTATTACAAAACTGTCATCTACTTTTGCCATTTTTAAATGAATTAGAAAAAGAATTAGAAATATCAACAAAACCACATGTAAGTCCATTCCTTAACCCACACCCGACTAAATTGTATATCTTTTTCTTATAGCCCGATTTTCGTCTTTGGATGACTACTGAACCAATTGAGAAATTTCCAAGTAAGTTTCTTTATAGTCTTGAAAATATAATCATTCTGTTTTTTATTCTCTAGTCGGACTCCTACAAAAATCATACAAAGTAGTTATAGAACCTCCATCGACGCTTAAATTAAATCTACGTTCAATATTTGTTAATCTAAATATTCAAATATTCAGTGATTCTGATCATCCAGCATATCCTTGTATGATATTTATTCTTGCTTTCTTTCATGCAATCATACTTGATCGAAGAAAATATAATAAAATTGGTTGGTCATGTACTTATGATTTCAATGAATCAGATTGTAAATTATTTGATAAATATATATAGATTAATATTTAATGTGTTTTGTTTTAAGTTCGAGTTTCAGTCGATATTTTAAAACATTATCTAAATATGAATTTAGAACATGGTAATCTTGATATTCAATGGTCAACATTACGATATTTAATTGGAGAAGGTACATTTAATTTGTATAATTTTCTTATTGATATTATTTCTTGTCTTTTAAAGTTATGTATGGTGGTCGTGTTATTGATTCGTATGATCGACGAATTATTCGTACCTATATGAAAGAATATTTTGGTGATTTTGTTTTTGATTCAATTCAACAGTTTCATTTTTTTATTGATATAACAACTAAACCATTGAAATATGATTATTTCATTCCTGAAATACGTGATTTTCTATCTGCAAAACAACGATGGTTATTAAAAGAAGCGAATATATCAGTATAGATCCTTTTATTTCAATTTAATTCATTTTTTTCAAATTTTTGTTTTAGATCGAGCCACAGATTGAATATAATTTTGAAAAATTATTACCAAATAAAATCTCTGATCTTCTTCAACATAATATGGAACAATCAAACTCTCCTATAAAACAAATCGATTATAAATTTCTATCGAAAAGTGTTCTTTTTAATCAATTCTTTCATTATTCAATTTTTCGTGATTTTTATTTCACTTATATCGATCAATTACCACTTTATAATCCACCTGATGTACTCGGATTACATCCTAATGCAGAAATTAATTATTTAACTAAGACAGCCCATGAAATTTATTCAAATATGATTATGATCCAACCAGAACAATACGATATCGATTATGGTTCAAATAGAGAACGTAAGATAAATGAAAAATCTCCACTTCATTTTTATGTCATGCTAGAATTCTCTATTATCTTTCACTGGGTGTTGATGGTTGTACGGTAGTCATCTACACCCACACCCACACCCACACCTTCAACTAATTTTAACTGTAATACTAATAA